CACTTACACACACCGCCCCCCAATCGGCTGTTGCCAGCGGAGATTACTTGGGGTGTGGGAAGTATCATATGAAAAGGCTACAGGCCGCTATCACTTTGCTATATTTCCCTGTTTTCAAGAAGGGTCGGGGAAGGGGGCATGCAGTGGCATGTGGGGAGCGGGTGACAGGGGACACTCACGCAGGTCCATTTCGTCGTGTTGGGCTTGGAGGGACGGCAGCAGCACTCAAGCCTCCAACCTCCAAGCCCAGCTCCCAGCTTTCACACCCCCAGCCGCAGCCTGATCACCCCCTCCTGCATCCCTCTGCTCAGCGGCAACAAGCTCACCGGCACGCTGAGCCCCGGCTTTGGCGCGGCCTGGCCGGCCATGGAGGAGCTGGAGCTGTACACCAACGGCTTCACAGGGCCGCTGCCCAAGGAGTGGGCCGGGATGGGCAGGCTCAAGACGCTGTACCTCTAGTGAGATTCTTTATTTGTCGTTGTTGCTGTTACCCCCGCCCACAAAGGCTTTCCTGCACCTTTCTGGTTGAAAGAGTGACAGGGTAGCAGGGGCACGATCGCCAGCCAAAAAATGATTTTGGGGGGTGGGGAGGTGACGATTGAAAAGTCTATAGGCCCCTCTCCAGCGCGGTAAGGGGTTTGCGAATGCGGGAGGTTGAGGGCATGGGAGGGGGGGTTGCCGCAATCGAGGCCAGCAGCAATACAAAGCCAGATTTTGTACCCCTTCCCTAACACCAAAATGCACCCCGCGGCCGGGTTGCTGCAGGGGTGGGAAGGGGGGGGCGCTGCGGCTGCAGCGTCCGCAAGCCGGCCCTCACTTTCTCAACTTGTTGCTGGCTTGACAGCCTTTGCAGTCTCCATCACGCACGTCCACGCGTGGTCTCCGTCATGCACGCCCCCCCACCCACACACACACCCACATACACTCCGGCCCCTGCTCTGTGTGCTCTTTCGCCTCACAGCCAAAACAAGCTCACCGGCACGCTGAGCCCCGGGTTTGGCGCTGCCTGGCAGGCGATGGAGGACCTGGAGCTGAACAAGAACGCCTTCACTGGGTTGTTGCCGGCGTCGTGGGGCTCCTTTACGAAGCTGAGAAGGCTTTGGCTCAGCACCAACCAGCTCCAGGGCAGCATCCCACCCTCCTGGGGTGCGCTGGGCGCGGTGCCCATCAGCACCCTGGTCCTCAAGGAGAATGCTGGCTTGGTGGGCTGCCTGCCGCGGGGCCTCGAGTGGTTCGGAGGAGACGCCAACATCTGCCAGAGCACGGGCCTGAAGTGCTCTGTCTGCTAGGTACAGGCTGCGCACTGCTGTCGGCGGCCTAGGGGCGTGCAGCATGATGCTAAGCAAGGTAGCTGCTTGTGGCAAGCTGCGGCGGTGCACTGTGGCCCTGCATGCCTGGTCAGATAATGGTATGGCAACGCATGCGACTGCAACGCAGCCCCTGCATGCTGTGTCAGCTATCCGGCTAGGAGGGGTGCCTTGACAATGATGCGCGTCTTGCGGCTCGCCTTGCTTCCCCCAGCCCCATAATCTTATCAATCCAAAAACCTTTTCTGGGCCGACGGCGTCTTTGTATGGTGATCCCCACGATCCTGATTGCCCATTCCTGGTCTATCGAACTTGTGGCAAGGCCAGGGCGCTGGCGGTTTGTTGCATTCTGCGGCGCGCCGGCTTGCCCTGCTGTGACAAGCGGAAATTATAATTTGCACTATCATATATTTTCCACAATTCAGGCATGCAGGTCTGATGTCGATGCCAGATAGTTGTGGCACGCCTCTTTTGCACTCAGCGTTGCGGCATGCGTGAAGCGCCCAGCTACAAATCTCAACCATAAGGTTCTAGCATGTGCAAGCGCCATCAGACATGGTCCATATTGTTGACATGGTATCAGGACGACGAGTGCATGGGGATGACGACTATTCAGTCATGGTGTGTCCATGTAGGAGGGCGCTGCTCAGCTGTTGAGGCGTGCTGCTGAGGCGCAGGAGGGAGGGGAAAGTGTGCACAACGAAGGTTAGGGTTCTTGAGTTCCATAACCAGCTGACCTTGGTACGTGATACACACTCTAGTGAAACGTACCATGCAAACGCGCCTGTCATCCATCCTGTACGGTCCCCGGCGCCTGGGGGCGGCGGCAACACCACCAGGAGTGCTGAAGCAGCATCAGCACGAGCAGAGGGGACATGCAGCATTCCGCATCTGGGCACTGATCTACATGTTCAGGCAGTGACGGTTTGAAGATGTACAGTACTGGCCTTCTCGAGGCGCTGAAGTCAAGGAGCAGGGGGGTGGATTCGGCAAGGCAGTACCTCACCAGTGCCAATGCCAGTGTCTTTGCTAGGCGGACGAACGGCATCGTGGGAGTGGCGTGAATATGGCGGCATATGATCATCAACGTTAAAGCAAGTGTGCAAGTATAGTACATCGCGTCTCGTGTCACCGGATGATCTACAGGGTTACACAGGGGCACCCCGCGATCCACAAACTATCAAGCCCGTGCATTATGATAGTATAATAGCAACTTTGACTTGCTGTTACGCTAAGCCCCGCGCTCCCCCTTGCCTCAAACACGACAAGTTTCAGCACCGGCAGCAACTGTCGCCGCTCGGCTCGCACCTCACCCAGAGCGATAATGACCACCTACTTCACTGTCTCGGACGCAAAGCTGGTCGAGGTGCGAGGCCAGCACTTGCCCGCACTGCTCCGCAGCTGCCAGCAAAACAAGGGCGCCCTGCACGTGCAGTCCCCGCCCTCCCTCGCCGCATGCATCCGCGCGTCGCTTCACAAGCGCTCTTTCATGGCCCCAGGCCAGCGGGGAGGACTTCAAGACTATAGTGAAAAGCGGCACCCTCACCATAACCGGCCCCTCGCCAGCGATCACGGTGCGAAGCCGGCCGCTGGCGCCCATTCACTTACATGTGTCTGCCGGATCCACGATCGGCATGCATGCTGGGCTCTGCTATTTACACCCGCCAACTCGCTTCCTGGGTGTTGCAGCAGAAGGGGAGGACATCTCATTGACTCGTGCGCCTTCCAGCTTCCCCCCTCCTTGAACACGCCCCCAACGCAGCCTGTGTGCAGCCGAACTCACCCCTTCCGCCACCCCCTCTTCACAGATTGACGGCAACCCCATACCGCTCCAGAAGTCATCCCGGGAGCCCTTCAAGCGTGTCGGCCGGGACTTCAAGTGCGCACCACCTCTCCGACATGGCGCGCCCCCGCCCGCGCCGAGAGTGCACGCTCGACCCCGGGGCCAAGCTGCGCCGCTCCCTCCTTTGCCCCCGCAAACCGGTGGTCGCGCCCGCCACCCTGCCGCCCATGCCCACAGGTTTGCCACGCAGGATGTGATGTCATTCTACTACGTGTCCCTCCCTGCGGGTGAGCGCCACGGTCCCTGCCCCGCGCCCCCCCCCCTCATTCGTGCCAACTGCGCGTCCCTACCCCTCCACAGCCCCTGCCCCGGCCTGCCAAACGCCTTGAGCGCATCCCTGGAGCGCAGCCGCGCTGCCAGTGCTGATATCACCGCCAGTGCGCCGCCGCAGGTGAAATCAAGACCGCCACAAACTCAGCGGTTGCCAGCTTGCGCCCTTGATCCATGCCAACAACCCTGATCGCCATCATCATTATATTCGCTCAAACCCGCCGCCGCCAGGCCTTGACGATTCGGTGTATGACAGGTTTGAGGAGCTGCTCACGCTGGCGGTCGAGGGCCGCCCCCTGACGCTGCCCGGGCCCGCTGAGAGGGCCGCCGCCACCGCCAAGGCCGCGAGTGCCGCGGTGGCATCAAAGGCGTCGGAGGTCGCCGCAGCGGTGGGTTTTGGGGGTGTGGGTGCAATGTTGGTGGCTGGCACTGCAGTAGCGACCGTAGTGGCCGGCTATGTAGGGCGTCGCGTCATCATCCATTGATATCAAGCAGCAATTAAAGGGTTCTTCATTCCCAGTTGCTCTTCAATTTACGATTGGCAATTGACGACTCCCTGTGACTGCTTGTTTCGTACGAGCGAGATGCAAATAACGCAGAGGGCCCCGGCTAGCAAGGCGCAGCATCCAGAGCATCCGCGTGCCTGCACCTCGTGACGGCGCCCAGCCAGCTTGGCTGGCTGACAGCAACAACTCCCTGATGTGCCAATGTTGCAAACACGGCCAAAATGATGAGACATTGTCGCACTGTGCATTCCAACGACATCTTCAATCAGGGATGCACTCTACAACACCGGTTTGCTATCCCAGGTTGAAGCGAAAGCGGACGACGCCTCCGCGGGGGCGCATTCCACGCCCGGCGCCAAGGAGGGCGGGGCAGCGGGTCTTTTTGGTGCTCTGAGGGAGCTGGGCCAGAAGGCGGCGGAGGACACCCTGGCGGTGGCAAACGCGATAAAGGTGGGGCCAAAGGGGGGGTGGCTACAGCGTGGATGTGCGTATGTGTGTGTGTGTGTGTGCGTGCGTGCGCGCGCGCACGCGGATGCAATTGAGGCTCTGTACACATGGGTGGGTGGGAGGGGGTTGGGGGGAGTGAAGGGTGTTGGGTGTTGGGTGCACACATGAGTCTGGAGGAGGAGGCCCAGGCTGGCGGTGGCAACCCCCCTTGTCAGCCCAGCCAGACGCGCCCTCCCCCAGAAGACCCGCACTGGCCGTCAGCTCGGGCGGGGGCAGCCAGCCGTGGCGCTTGGATGCAGTGCGCCCTGGCTCCAAACCAACCGGCTGCACGGCAAGCGGCAGGGCGCGGCCGCTAGGCCCTCCTGCCCTCCCGCTGATGCCCGCTGAGCACACCCGGTGCAAAAACGCCCACAGCACTTTTTGGATCATGGAGATGTGCAGCTCTCGCAGTCCATCCGCACCATCATAGCGCGAACGGGCGACATTCTCCTTCGTCTTCCACCGTGCTCCCACCCCCCAACACACCCAAAACACACACGAATACACATCACATGCACACATGTACTCCTGTTTCAGAGAAACACGCGCACACACATGCACACACACACACACACACACACACTTTCTCTGTGCCTCAAACACACACGCATGCGCGCGCGAGCTTGCACACACACACACACACACACACACACACACACACCCGCACACACACACACACACACACACACACACACACATACACACAC